CAGGAACAGAATGAGAGTTTGAATTAATACATATGATATTGGATGAAGCTTCTAATCAAAATTTCATCCTAGTAAAGTTTCCTTGTACATTAAAGCAACAGGTATAAGCCCCGAACAAGGGAGAGAGGCAAGCTGCATTACCTATTTATATGTGTTCAAATGGTTCGACTGTTTAACTATGTAGCCAAATTACTACCTTTCTTAAAGTTGTGCCTACTTATAGGGCCAATTATTTCAGCAAAGTCTGTACTAATAAGTACATCATATTTCAATAAAACAGAGACACTTCATAGAGAAAGAAAATATAGGCAGTTTATAATAACATCAAAATTCTTAAACAATTGTTTTCTAGATTAGAGTGGTCTCTCAAATCCCCTTTTCAATTGGCACTGATGATTCAGTGAAACAGAGCCATGAATCATGTGCCATCTTTTGTCCTGGGATGAACATCTCTGAAGAGCTGACCTTTACAGATCATTTTGCCTTTTGAAATCCTCCTCCATGACAAATACTAATTGAAGCAGCTACAGAGTGTAACATATTGTCGTGGTGAGAGGACTTTTTTCTTTAATCAGAACTTGTTTGCATTTAAACCAGCCAACCATCAGCTCTTGAACACTTTCTTAGGTGGACTTCCTGAGTGACAAATGAGTCACCTATCAATTCATCAAAACCTCCTGAATTTAAGGGGCATGGACAGTCCTTCCTTCCTTGGTATCCATGGAGATACTCCCCCAAAGTTACTAAGACTGAAGCTGTACAAGTCCCTTATATATAATGTGTAATGTTTGCCTATAACTATGTATACACCTGCCTAAATGTCTTTTGTACTGATTGATTGATTTAATGCTGGGATCAGAGTAAGATCCTTTTGTGTAAGAGCACTCTAATACTGATGTACATCCTTTCCTGACTCTAGGGTATTTTGAAACACCTTAACTTATAATACATAAACATACAATGCAAGAGATATGTAAATCATTATTATTACATTTGTATGCTCTGTACAGAAGCGATATTTCCCCCAAATATTTTCTATTTATGGTTGTCTGAATCTGTGAATATGGGCAGCATCTATCCATGTTTCTTTTTTGAAAATGATTGTCATTCTTTCATTTATTCATTGGTATATTGGTTCATCTGTTCATTTGCTCAAAAAAATAGGCAAAATTGCAAGAAGTAATGCTATGCTAATTCTACTCTATGAAATGCTATTTCATAACCATTCTTGAAGATGTTTTTTTCTATTTAATATAATTAGAGGCATGAGCTACACACTATCTCTTGTCAAAAGTTATCAATGGTCTTATATAAAATAATCACTTTAATATTTATGATGATTAAATCATTGATCTTTAACGAAAAATATCAACGTGCCTATTCTGATTGTAATACTCTGAAGAATTTAAAAACACTGAAAGAATCTTTTGAAATAATTGTGATAGAGACTGCTTAGTAGGCATTTAGCAAAACATCTGTCAAATGAAGAGAAGGCATCTGAGATTCATACAGCCCTAAGAATGGATGTTCAAAGTTCTTTGTAACACCAAAGGTTCTTCAAGACTTTTCAAACTTCACTGAAAACCAGAGCTTTCCAATGTTCAGATTGTAGTTAGAATCTTCTCCCAATCATCAGCAATTCTGTCATTGTGCACCAAGCATTTGTGGGTTGCCAGGAGATGCACTTGGGGAGCAAAAGTCTTACATTATATAGTTTGTTGTGCCTTGCCATTCCACATACTAAATTGAAGGAGAGTAGCAGAGTGGCATGACATATATAAACTGACTTCCTACCCAAGCTTTTCTAATTAATATTGCTTTGACTTATAGAAAGCACTTAAGACTTAGCAACAATGCTAAAAACATTTCTAATCTAGGACTTGGCATATAATATCGCAATGAAAATAGTCATAATTATTATAAAATGGTATCCTTGGAAACATATCTTCGTTGAACATAAAAAGAAATTTGATATTACTATTTTTAAAACTCTCATGAAAAAGCTTAAGTATACCCTTCAATTATTTCAGGGATGAGTGATAACTGCTTGGAAGGAAGAAACAAGTCATCTGAAATAATTTAGGTATAATTTTATATGTAATGACTATTCCATTATATCTTTTTAATCATCTTTCAATCTCATAGCAAAATAAAAATGTTGGCTTGGTATAATTTTCATTTTCCATTGTAAAACAACACGATAGAAATCACAAGGGTGAGGCATAGGACAGACTGGCTAACAAGATCCACAGCCATTTTCCATCTCACCATGATTATAGTTTCACAGTGAAGAAGGCTGTCCATCCAAAGAGGTTTATCACTGTGTAGAGACACTTAAAAACTAAGAAAATAGAAAAGGCAGTTTACTTGCTGCAGTATCTCCATTTCCCACACCTACCCACAAATGCCCAAAGTTGTTCTATTTAAATATCAGGAAAGAGGAGTGTGTTAAGAAAGTTAAAATTGCTAGCTAACTTTCTTCCATTGTGATGAAATAATCAAGTATTAATTTGAGATAATCAAGTTATATGGAGGAAAGGGTTACTTCAGTGCTTGGTAGGTCGGTCTTGTGAGGAGGTAGGGCATCATGGCCAGGAGTGTGTGATGAAGGAGATGTCTCACCTCACAGGGGCTGGGGTTCAGAGGAGAGAGATGAAGGCACCGTGATCAACTATCCCCATCAGTGGCATGCTTACAATTTTCTAATTACTTTTCATTAAGACTCTACCTCGTCAACTTTCACCCTTTTCCCATAGCATATAACTGGGGACTAAGCCATAACACCAAGCCTTTGGGATGCCACAAACACTAGTAATAAACTTATATAATACTACATCCAAAATTATATGAATCTGTCTGACTAAAGCCAAGGTGTACAAAAGAAGACAGACAGATGATGATTCATAGATAACAGACAGACAGACAGAGATGGGCATACTTTATGTTGCATTTACTTTCATAACCCAATCTCATTGTCATACCTTGTAGGCAACAGAGAGACATCATTTCATGACATGCCATTCACAGGTATTCTGTCTACTTAATATCAATCTCCCCTACTCCAATTCCTTTGTCCTGCTTAAAAACTCCTACTCATACTCAAAAGCAGAAGTCGAAGAATATTTGATGAAGACTTACCTGTAAACTTTCCAGAAGAGTTAGTCATTATTCTCCTCTTTTTAAGCATGTCCGTTCTCTGGAACAGTAAGTAACCCTTCCCCTATCATCCCTGAGAGCTAACTCTGCATTCCAAGATCTCACCAGAGTGCCTGGAATATATATGTGTGCAATGAATGTTTTCTAGATTACTATCCTATTTTCAGGTCAGCTTGGGAATCAGACAAAAAATTCATATATGGCAAAGTATTATAGTCTTATCTCATTCCAGTTTTTTCAATACATCAATAGCATTTTGATAATATTTTAAAATTTTACTGCTAATTAAGGAAAAAATGTCTTCACACATATGTAAATTTTTTTAGTTCCAAAATTTATCTAATTTTTGTAAGAATCATAGCTATTTATAGTTTTCCCTTAGAGTAGAAATGTGAGTAAAATTCCCCTTTGTATCTTAAATACCAAGTTGAATATATTTATTTAAAATATGTTTTGGGGGCACCAGATGTGAAAGACATATGTGTAATTCTAGGAACTCTGGAGGTGGAGATTGGAGCTAGTCTAAGACAATATCCCCACCCCTACCATGTTAGATCTCATCAAGAAAATACAGCAAAAATAAAGAAGATGTGTGGCTCAAGTGATAGAGTGTCAGCCTAACAAGCACAGTACACTGTTTACACCTAAATGCCACCATAAATAAATAATACAATTATAAGAATTTTATATAATAAAATTATAATCACATATAAAAATACACCTTAATATAATTAAAAGTGCATTTTTTAGAAATAATTATTTTCTGGTCCTCTTTCCTGACAAGAAACATTCTGCAAGTAAGAAAATGAAGTACACGTGATACAAGACAACAGAAATGCACCCAAATTTCATTTACTGAAAAATTTCCCTATCATTTCCCTATCATTTCTTAAATACATATCAACAAGAATTTCTTCGTGGGAATCTATGTGTGGAAAATTTCAAACTCTGAATATCTCTCAATTATCTTTTCCTGCAGTTGTTTTTGCTTTCAGTGAAACAAAACATTCAAAAAATTGCGGATTTATGCTGAAAATCTTGTGCTCAAATCCTGTAGATGGAAGAAATATGGACACAATTTGACATTTCTCCTAAAAACAGTGGACTTCCCAAACATATATATATATATATATATATACATATATATATATATGCATATACAATTTCATTTCAAAAAAATGAAAAGCTTTACATCTCTTGTTTAAATTAATTTTTAAAGTTCTTTGCTTAGAAAAAAATAAGAGAGTAGAATATAGCAGGGATACATTTCAATTATTTCTAGAGAATCTAAAAGCAACTAGTTGATGGGTTAATGTTTTAAGATAGAAGGAAAAATGCAAAATTCATTCACTCTACCATCAAATGGGTTAGCCAAGGATGATGCTTTTAAGGCGAGCTAGCTCCTCAGCACCAGGACTGCTACAGGTGCTGTGGAAAGAAGGGATTCAGTGGTCCAATGTGGGAAGTTTGGGATGTGCCTGTTCAAGCAAAGTTAAATAGACAATGAAGGACTTTTCAGAGCATTTATTATGCTAATATCTACTTAAAGTCACACGAAATAATATTGGCAGATTTTTCCAGACAGAACTATTTAATAAAGTCTTCTCTTCCCTCTCAATTCCTCTCCCTCCTTTTTTTTTTCTTAATGAGGGCAGGGATCAAGCATATCTGGGCCCCTGGCCAATATACCTGCATGAAAACAACTAGATCTTGATATACCACTTATACAAATTCCTGTGTGGCTCTATAGCAGAATTGGTTAGAAACTTACATTTCTACTTCAAGTTCAGAGTTTCAGACATGCCGTTTTCTAATCTGCCACTTGCAGAGGGAAGGGTACCAACCTGAATGCTTCAAGGTACTCCACATCTCCCATGGGAGGATCAAGGCCACCTGTCCAGGCAATATTTATATTATACCCTTCTCCAAGGCCTGTTCCAACCTGAGAAGAGAAAAGCATACCACCATGGGTAGACAAGAGATCCATGGGAAGTAAAGCAAGAAGAGAAGAAAACAATCCCATGGGAAGTCTTGACATAAGCATCAAACACTGCATCAAGTCAGCCCAACCTTGCTTGACAACTAGCGCTCTGGGTTATGCACTTGTACTGCCTTGGTTCTTGGTCCTGGGGGACAATCGAGTAATCTCGTGTAATTTGAAACACCAGCAAAGGACAAGAAAATTAGGGGTAATCATGCAATGCAATTACCTGCAAGATACAAATAAAAGTGGGGCTCTAAAGAAATAAACCGAACCTCATTTGGGGCTCCACTGCCAGGGAAAAAGTTCCCTTCATCATAGCGATGGAGTGAAATGTACAGGATGCTGGGGTCAGCATAAAAGGCCTGCTGTGTACCGTTTCCATGGTGCACATCCTACAGAGAAAAGAAAACAGATGACAAATACAGTTCTGTCTAACTCTGTGTGGAGGCAACCTTTTTGATTTCGAGTTGCCTGTCTTCCTAACCTTCCCCTCCTTCTCATGGTCTGTCTTTCTCGCTTGTCCCTCTTTTTCTTTTCCCCCTCCAGCCTGCTCCTACCCCCCCACACCCCCTTTACTTCCTGAACTTTCAGGCAAATTACGCTTTAATGCACTCATTTTTTAAACTGGCTTCTAAAAATCAGGAAACCACAGCGAGCATGCCCTGGAGACACCAGATGAGCAGTCATTGAGAAAGTCCAGTCCTTTGGTACAATTAGATATTTATACACCGGCTCTTTGTACTCTTTTGCTTCGGTGATGGAATCTCGCATCCTGTTTTATGGAGGAATTTTATGACTTATTAACTGCCAACAGTTCATAACCCCTCAGGCTTAATTAACTAGCCTCATTGGCCTCTGGAAAAAAAAAAGAAGACTAATGTTTAAACTCCAAACTAGTATTTTGCAGAAGGATCTATGGCTTGCAGAGCATTTTCGTAATTCTTGACAGAACACTAAACATACGTGTGTGTATTGATTTGCCAAGTCCCACCATTAAGGTCAAAGGCTTTGCAACCAGCTGAATAAATTGGCTTTCTTGAAGCCTTCAGTTCAGTTAGCAATCCCCTAGCAGTTAGCGTCACTTCAAAAGAGATGCCAGATGCAGAAACGACTTCTTTCTTCATTTTGGTAAAATCATGACAGCAAAAATTGAAGACACAGGAGCCATGAGCTCATTAGCTTTTGTCATCTGAGCCAATGGAGGACGAGAGCATGGGGTTTCATGCAATCTTGTCCACGCTGTCTAATCTTAATACTATATATGGTCTCTCTTCCCAGTCACCTTCTGATTTTTTTCTTCCCCCATACAACTCTCCTTCCCTTTCCACTCAAACAAGCAAAAAAATCTGTTTTGTTTCAATGAATGCAAAATTCATAGGGCAATTCTCTATGATAATGATTCAAAATGTGTCACTTCTCTTTATTAATCATAATTAATTGTCAATGATGTGTTAGAATGGATATGAGAAATAAAAAAATAAATATCATTAAAAAATACGTTTACTGAAAGATTTCCAGTGGTAAAGAGTGATAAATTCACTGAATGTCGTCTGGATAAAAAGGAAATGGACCAGGTTTAAAATTCAATAATCTATATATTTGTACTCAGCAGAATATTATTGCCTTATTATTAACATATACAGAAATAGTTTCTGGTTCTGTTATTAAAATGTTTGGTAATATGTAACTATTTAATTATATTGTATTTCATTTTAGGTAAATAGGAATTACTCTGGTTTCAACAGTGTCTCCCACAATTTTTAAATTAGACACTCTATTAAAAAATCTGCATAAGTTATTTGATAATTGAATGGTATATGTAATGTTATCCATAATGTAAAAGATAAAATGGAGGCTTGTGGCTTTAGTTATTTAGTAAAACTACACAGAAATTAAGTGTTAGACTGGGTTTTGAACCTACTTCTGACTCAAAGAATAAACTTTTAACTATTACACTGTTAACTTTACCTACATTATCTCTTTGATACTCTTAGCAGCTTTGTATGGTGAAGGTTTTGTGCATTATTTTTCCTTATCCTAGTCTGTAAACCTTTGTACCCACAAAAACCTGCAGTTCTGCATTACACTACACATCACCAGGATCTTTGCTAGTAGGTCCAGAACACCTGCACTGAGTTTGCCATCTATGATGTAGACACATAATAACACTCTACCCTTTTGTATAAAACACACACCCAAAGTAATTACAGAATCATATGTCTAGGCAGAAAATGAGATCCTTCAAAACTTGTGTCAGACAAAGATACACACACTAGAAAAAAGTAAATTACTGAATATATATATATAAATATATATATATTAATTCCTGGATTTCTGAATATTGAAAGAGAAGAAGGGATAGATACATTACTTCCTTTATGTGAGCAATTTAAGCCACAGAGTCTTTTGTGCTTACTACTGGACATCTACAACATGGATAAAAAATATTAGAAAGCCCTCAACACTAAAGTAATGTTTCTGTTTCCCTTGTACAATAGCAATAGAGTTGTAAGTCACATCGATCTGGTCATAAATGTACCCACAATTGCAAAAGTAGAAATAATTACATTGATTATTCAAGCTTCTCTGGGGACATTGAAAAGTTTTATTTAAGAAGACAAAATAAGAAGATGACAATGTGTCTCAGATATCAAATCATTTGTTCTTGAAAAATACCCGAGGTACTTATGTACTTCTGAGTAAGAAATGCAATTTCATCATCAGTGTAGTAAAGTTTTCAACAGATACTATTCATTAAACTACACAAATCCACTCTAATACATGGGCCATCGTGATTCTGCATTGATTGTCACTAAGCATTTAAAGATAAAATTTCAATACATGTATGCATATTATTCTGGGCAGTAATTTATAACAATATAGCTTTGGTTCATTTTTTTCTTGTTTTATGCTTTTTAAAATTCTTCTTGTTCTAAAATATTCATACAAACTTCTGAGGTCTTGGGAACTATCTGAGGTTTGTTTTTCCATAGCAACAAATACATACTACACTAAGATAAGAAAAAAAATGAAATGAACATAATCTTTAAAAATCCCCAGGAAGAACTTAAGATTTTAAGATACTGTGAGAAGTGTGAAAAAATCATTTAATTATTTTTCTGGTTAAAAAAGTACATTGTAAAAATTAATTCTGAACAAAATGTAGAAAGAAATATACTTTTACTTGTATGTCAAATAGCTTTGAATAAATCACGTTCCACCTGCTAACTAGTAAATAATCACTTGCAATTATTTAGTATAAGGACTTGTGAAAAATATCTAAATATATTTGACTAACCGTTGGATTTTCTAAAACCTAAGGGTAGTTGAAATAACTTTTCTTTTTTAATAACAGAACCTAAAGAGTAATGTTTTTCTGACCAAAAGCTACTTTGCCCAATAACTTCATGAGTCCTGCAATATAATCTACTTCTAGGACAGGGCACTGCCCTGACCTCAATGGCTGGTTCTTTTGCAAGTGGAAAGCAAGTCTACCTGATTTTTTTTCCTACAATGTTGTGTGTGTGTGTGTGTGTGTGTGTGTGTGTGTGATCTTTTGAGAAAGGGAAAGTGAAATGAATGAGTTTTATAGATCCACTAGAACACTACCTGCCTAAAATACTCAACATGTCTGAATTTGGCTGTGACCCCAAATGGGAGGTGAGTCACTACTCTGGCTCTGTGTTTACTAGGCTTATAAAACAGCTGAATTTAGCTGTTAGACAATGGAGTTGCTTTGCCTTCTCTTGGTCCCAGAATTTGTAGAGGTCCTTCACCATGTCACCGGCATGGTAAATGGCTTTGGATACACAAGGATGAAGGACTTTCCCTACTGAAACACTTCTTTCTCCTCTCCTTTGCTAACTTGCAGAACAGACCTGTCAGCCTGGGAGAACAGAGGTCTCAGTGCCACGTGGCACTTTAAAACTTCCTTCTCAGCAGCTGGGAGAAACAGGAATTTCCTCTAAGTAGCCCTGCAGCTGCAGAAATTGGAAGACTTGAAAGTAAGAATATGTGAGCTGGTGGTGATCTCAGAGGCAACCCTTTGGACAGAACTTCATACACTGAGAGAATTTGAAACAAAAACTTCTCGTCTTGTAGAGCCTGCTGGGAAATGAGAATCATTTATGATTGGATAATGAAGCCGGTTCATAATCAAAGGCCAGTAAGCTTACAGGAAACTGCTGGGAGCTACCAAGTAAATTATTTTATAAATCGTTTCAGATTATATCCCGTAGACTTTTACTCATATATTAACATACAAAGTAAAACTATACATAAAAATCCTCTGCAGTACAAAGAATCCATCTATCGTAAACTACATATTATAATTTTCCAATCCATTTTATAATTCATTATTTATGAGTTTGGATATGAACAATGCGCTTTCAAAGGGGTTTCTTGATAATTATTGATTACCTTTGTAGAAACTCCAAATGATATAGGAGATCTCTCAGAAAGTAAATGCTAAAAGGCTCTGAACAACAAGAAAAAGTGGACCAGTCACCATCCCATATAATTTTGATAAAATTTACATGTTGAGAAATTCTGAGCACACATACTTCAATATTCATCCTTTTCTTCAAAAAATTTTACTTATCTTTCTAGCATAGAACTTGCAGACTATGCTCATTTTCTAAATGTACTATAATTCTTGAAAAACAGTTATTTAAAAGTGTTTTAAAAAAAGTGTTCTTTTGAAGCCGGGTGCTGGTGGCTCTTGTCTGTAATCCTAGTTCCTCAGGAGGCTGAGATCTGAGGGTTGTGGTTCCACGCAACCGGAGCAGGAAAGTCCGTGAGATTCTTATCTCCAATAAACCACTCAGAAAACTGGAAGTGGTGCTGTGGTTCAAGGGGTAGAGCACTAGCCTTGAGCTGAAAAGCTAAGGGACAGCATCCAGGGCTAGAGTTCAGGCCCCGCAACCAAAAAGAAAAAAATTCTTTTGAATGTATATAGAAAAATACATACTAGTATCGATCATGCAAAATGCTAATACATTGCTGCTGCAGAAGATATGAGCTTTCAATATGGTGAAGTATGATGATAAACTATGATTTACATTGAAGCTTAAGCTGGGTGACAGTGGCTTATATAGTTTTAGCTACTCAGGAGGCTGAGATCTGAGGCTTAAGATTCAAAGCTAGCTCTGGCAGGAAAGTCTGTGAGAATCTTATGTCCAATTTTCCACTAAAAAATTAGAGTTGGAGTGTTGCTCAAGTGGTAGAATACAAGTCTTGAGTGGGAAAGCTAAGGGACAGAGCACCGGTCCTGAGTTCAAGCCTTAGGTTTGGCACATACACGCACATGCACACGCACACACGCACACACACACACACACACACACACACACACACACACACACACACACAAAACCTTAAGCATGTTTGCAAAATTCATGGAAAGTTCGGATTTTATATTCTTCCCAAAAATGTGTTTGCAGAAAGACAACACATTGTACCAAAAAAAAAAAAACCCCACAAACACATTTATTCCAATTCAAAGCTAGTAGTGTTTATCAGTCTCCCATTCCTTTTATCTTGGGTTTACCTTAACTAAGCATTTCTTCACATGGCTCTGTTTGTGCCCCCTCAACCCTTTGGTGTGTCTGGTTAACTAAATCAGAGGGCTGGAGGGTAAGGCCATGACTTCCAATAAGATTTAATTATGAGTGCAGATATGAGCAAGATTTAGACTATTGAGCCTTGCACTTCAAAAAAAAAGCCCTTTAACATATTTTGCCTTTAAATCTTTTATCACCTGCAAAAATTAATTAAGTGCAGATGTAGCAGGTTCAGTTTGGATGCCAGGGTTCATTTCCTGTCTATGCTTTGTCAGACAACCTATTACACCTTCTTCTTGAACTGGAGGCAAGCTGAAAACGTGGCTCATAAATCACCATTCAGCTCTCTTTTGCTCTTTCTTGGGCTGGTCTTTTTATATGGGCAGATCTCTAGCTCATTACTCAGAAATACACTTTAGACAACCTGCCAAGTGTCATCTGCATTTAAACCAACCATTTGTTAAACAAATTATAACTATTGTGTAAGAATGTATCATGTTAAAATGCAAGGCTAAATCCAATGTCTATGATTCTTAATCACTCAGGGTTCCTGCAGGAGTCATCCCTAACCTGGCATCTGAGACTTGAGATCTTTTCAGAAAGAATGACATGCTGACTTGTTTTAATAATACCACAGTTGCACAACAAGCAACATGATTGCTAACCAGGGGAAGTAGCCAATTGGTTACCAAAGCAACAGCATTCTTTCCAGCACATCTGACTATTTAAAGTCTATATTCTGTAGGGAAAAGTAAATTTGGGTTCTGTTGGGTTATTTTAACTGTGGAAGTATCAATTCATTTAAGGATCATAAAAGTTGCCCTGATCTGCGCCTTCTTCTCATTAAATTGCAGTTAACACCATGAAAGTGAAACGTGAATGTTTATGGTTTCAGAACTGCTATCCCGAATTTAATGAGTTTCCACATTCAAAGGAAACACACCCTTCAGTTGTTTGCAAGTGCTAAAGGCAAGACAAGAGAGAAATACAAATCCCTTCCCTTTTAGTTAGAGTCATTGAAAATCCAGCTCTGTTTGGGAATACATACCAGATCTACAATCAATATCTTGCTTATATTTAGTTGGTCTCTCAAGTACTTGGCTGTAATTGCAACTGAATTAAAAAAGCAGAACCCCCTGCGGAATAAAGAAGAACAGAGAAATAAGAAAGCAAATCATCCAGGAAAACCATTATAAATAATGTTCAGAGCATTTTGTAAAATGCTATATGATCTCTGAAGCCATAAATCTGCTTCTGGGAGTATCTCGAAAGACTTTTTTTCAGTCCATCTGCTAACAATTAGAAGCTTCAGAAACATGCACAGGGCAGGTGACTGCCAGGAATCATGGCGCTAGGAGATGGGCAAGAGTCTCTGGTACTTACATGGCTGCAGATTCTTCAGCATGATGGCCTGGGGGCCTCACAACAGCAAACCCATTCTGTAAGAAGAAGACATGTTTCCAATGGTCAGGTCAGGTAGGAGAGGCTTACTTTCATCTCTGTGCTCTATACTTTCTTCAAAAACACACACAAAAAAGTACAGATTCTTAGAAGCTTGCTCTCAAACTTGACTTCTGGCCCCTTAGCCAGGCCATAGAGGGACAGAGAAAAACCATATATGATGGTGTTTCTCAGATTATGTCTCAAGAAGGATTCCACAGAGCCGGGGCAGAACAGAAAGGTCGGAGCTGTGCCCCACTGGCAAACATACACGTCAGCTTCTATTCTCTCGTGGTTCACTTCTTTATGACATCAACATAACACAGAGGGAAATGCACTCCTGGTGCAGGTTTGAGTCAAAGTTTAGAAAGATGAGGAAAAGCCCAAAGTGAAAATTCTTTACCTGGATCCCCTCAATGATTATTTCCATTACAGTATCAGCAAAATGATCAACGCACTCACATACTCACATAGACACAAAAGAAACTTCAAAAAGGTGAAAAGGGAACAATGGAAAGCCATATTTCTTCCAGTCTATAAACTTAGCTTGGATGACTGCCAAGACTCGCAACTTTATTGGATTCTCTGAGTCAATTTCTAGCCCAAGTTCTGGAATTTTATAAAAAAAAAAAAAATTCCAGGGCTGAGCAGCAATCTGATCTATCCATGATCAAGGAATGCCGTAACCTCCAGATTAGTTGGAATGCATCACGGAAAGCTGAGGTAACTCCAGCATGAAGGCAGGGAACCATAAATCCTGGCAAAGCCAGCATGCTCAGAAAAGTTGGGTTGTCTGATGTGAAAAATAATCATCTATCACACGATTCACACCACCTTTCACTTAACTATGATTCAAGTAACATGTGCCAAGAAGAATGTTGCCTTAATACATAATCTTAAAACTTTTGAAATAATATAAATATACTTTAGAGAGATTTTTCTCCCTAAATCTTTAATGCAAGCAAAAAAGGTATAAAGAAAAGCCATCTATGCCCTGGATCTTCAAACATACTGGCACACTCTTGTTATGGTCACTAACATGCAATGAGTTAATTTGGTATCTTTTTTGGCCAGTGTAGGGAATGATAAGTTAAGACCAAATAGGGAATTACTGTTGCTAGACGATGCCCCCTTCTCCCAGTTTTAAGCATTGAAATCTTGATCCCAAGGAACTGTATTAAGAGGTAGGATCATTAAGGGGCAATTTGGTCTGTCCTCTACAGGGATACAGGGATACATTCTAGTTTCAACCATAATTTCTTCTGTTTTCCCTCAGCCTTTCACCATGCTCTAACTGGGAAGGGAGCTCTAGGGAGGTGCTGCAGGTTCTTGAACTTCCCAACTCTAGAACTAAAGGCCAAGTCAGCTTCTACTGTTCATTGATGAAAGTGTAGAGAATGGAGATGAACGAAAGCCTCTCCCACCTGACCTGACCATTGGAAATCTGTGATGTGTTTTGTGGCAGCAGAGAATGGATTAATACAGAAGTCAAATAACAGAATGTATGGACACAAGAATGATGATAAACACGTTCTGTTATTATTCTTAATGTACTTGCTATCTCTCTGATATGCAAGAAACTACAAAGATTGAATAACAATATTTAGAATGATTATAGGGTGAGATTAGAGATTATTAAAGGTCTTCTGAGAATGGAGAATTTTGCAATTGGGAAAGACAATGGCAAGGGTGAAAATAGATATGAATGAAGCATGGAAAATATAACTGATATAATGAATTTTAGATTAATAATGTAATAAAACTTTCAATATTCAACTGAAAATTGTGTTTTCTAGACAAAGGACTTCATTAGGCAATCCAAAGAACAAAATATCCAGTGACTTAACAGCTACAAGAAAAAAAGAGTATTATTGTATTAGTAATCAAGTGAACACAGATTAAACATCCAATAAGAAGCTATTTTTTCCATATAGAAAGCCAGGCACTGGTGGCTCACGCCTGTATTCCTAGCTACTCAGGAGGCTGAGATCTGAGGAAAACTAACCAGCCCAGGCAGGAAAGTCTGTAAGACTCTTATCTTCAATAAACCACTAGAAAACCAGAAGTAGTGCTGTGGCTCAAGTGGTAGAGTGCTTGCCTTGAGCTGAAGAGCGCAGGGATAGGTCCCAAGCCCAGAGTTCAAGCCCCATGACTAACTGAAAAAAAAAAAAAAAAACCAAAAAACCTGAAATGCTGAGAAGCTCTGTGCTGACACTCACTTGTTGCTGTAGAAGAGTAATAGATATATCTAAGGGAAAGTAATATATTGTATTAACTTTGTAATTTCATATATTTTCTAAATGGCTTATAGAAAATTTGAATTATTTTCACAGTAAACAATATTATTAAACCTGGAGAAAGTTGGTAGATAAATGTTAATGAGGCTGGAAGATCTGCTTTCATGTAGATATGAAAGGAAACAAAGAGCATTCTGGGTAGGGTAAGCATAAGAACTCCAAAAAAGGGCTTTGAAATATGTGTCAGGTACAGTAAGTCAATCGATGTAGAGTTCATGTTGGGGAACAAAATGGGAACACAATTTCACAAGTTATGTAAAGCAGAACAATAACAATAAAAATAATTTTAATTGTCTTCCTCTTTTTAGCCAAATTCCTTGAACAAAGGGTCTGCTTTTTGCTTTATACTCTTCTGTCCTACCCTCCAGCATTTTGGAAAAATGCTTTTAAAACCACTTGATTTTAGCTTGACTATGTCCTCCTTGTCAATTTCAGTAAAGCTATTCGCCATCATCAAGACCCACCTAAACATGCCTTTGTAGTTTCAACAACAGCCAACCCCTTACATTCTCCATATCTCTTCTGTGCTCCCCCTTTGCTTAGCTGAAAGGCTTGTCTTTGTTGCCAGCGTCACATACCTGCCAGCAGAAGTAGAATGTAGGTTCCAGTTTCTAGCTGTTGCTTTGAGATCATAAAAGCCCTTTAAAGCCACCATACCCCTACAACACTTCCAGAAGGGAAGGATTTGAAGGATTAGCTCACCCAGTAAAAGATAAAATATAACTTAATAAGATGACTGAGATAATCCTGAGACACTCCAGCTTCCTCTGGCTCCTATGGTACTAGAGAAGGGACTAGTTTGTCCTCCATTGTGGCTCATAACTTACAATTTGGATCCCACCCTCTCATACTCTTCTATCATATATCTAACACACCTTTAAATTCATATGAAAATTTCCTTTAAAATTACAACCATTTTGTCAAGATTCAAATAGCTTCAGATTTCTACCATTCTGGAGAAAGATGGGTCAATTTGTAATATCTGTCATCAGTTCCATCAATTTTTCAATTACTACATTTCTTTTCTTCCCCTAGTCACAACCCAATTCTCAGAAAGGCAGTGTCTACTGCTTTCTCTTTCTCATTTTCCTCATCTGTGACTCCTTTGACCTCTAATTTATCTTCCAACCAAGATACTCAAGAAGGTCATACAAATGGTCACCAATGGCCTTCCTGCCACTGAATCCAGTAATGGGATTTTTATTCTTCAACCTATCAGCACCTCATTAGCTATCAACCCCATTGGCTACATCTTCGTTTTAGAATAAGTATCCCCATGGTTTCTGTAACTGCATATTCCCCTAATATTCTTACCTTCATTTGTAGTTTCTAATCTATCTCCTACACATGAACTATTAGGCCATTCAATTATGGCCAATCAAGGCTACATTTTAGCCTTTCTTTTCCCCCTTCTCTTTCACATTTCTCAGGCAATGTCACTAGTGTTATGAATTCAAAACAAAGCTAATTATGGGTTTCTATTTCAAGGATGAAATTTCTTGAGCAGAAGAACAGTGTATCAGCCCCCATTCTCAACACCTTTGCTTGTGTATTTCTAGATCACTTCAAATTTAATATGTTCAACATCAAACTTGTGATCTTCTGATTTTTTGCTAAACTTAGCAATCATATAATGAATGATTCACCCATTGCTGCAAATCAGAAGCCAATCAGTTGTTTTTAATGGCTCTTTCATCCTATCTTTCTTCCATCTCATTTTAGTTCATATCCAATTCCTATCGATTTTACATTTTTTTTGTTTTTTTTTTGTTTGTTTGTTTGTTTGTTTTGCCGGTCATGGGGCCTGAACTCTGGGCCTGGGCACTGTCCCTCAGCTCTTCAGCTCAAGGCTAGTGCTCTACTGGAGCCACAGCGCCACTTCCGGCTTTTTCTGTTTATGTGGTGCTGAGGAATCGAACCCAGGGCCTCATGCTTGCAAGGCATGCACTCTACCACTGAGCTACCTTCCCAGCCCTTCCTATCGATTTTACATCTATTACTCAAATCTATGTGCTCATATTGATGTCCATTCCTTCTACAGTTGACTTTAAATTTTTCTCTTTCTTTCCATCAATTCTGAAGTAATTACTATCTGTCAATATTCATAGGGCAATTCATTCAGTCTCATGATTTATTGAAAAACTATCCTATTTACAATGGCTTCAATCAATCAATCAACCAATCAACCAGAAATAAACTAAAGATATGAAAAACTTGTTTGAGGATTTGTTGTTGGGGGATTTAAGTTTTGAGTTCTAAATATATTGTAGATATGAGACTCTTGTCCATTGTATGGCTAGTGACGATCTTCTCCCAATCCGTGGGCTTTCTATTGATCTTGCTAGCTATGTCCTTTGCCATGCAGAAGATCTAAGGTTTAATGCAACCCCATTTGTCCAACCCTTTCTTTAATTTGTTGTGTTTCTGGGTACTTACTAAGAAAATTTCAGCCTGTGCCAAGGAGCCCTAGAGTTTCTCCTATTCCTTCCTGTAATGTTTTCAGGGTGTCTGCTTTGACTTCGAGGTCTTTGATCCATTTGGAGTTGATTCTGGTACAGGTGATATATAAGGATCTAGCTTTAGTTTTCTACAGGTGTTTAACCAGTTTTGCCAGCTGAAGAGGCTGTCTTTCTTCCATTCTATTTTTTTTAGCTCCCTCATTGAAGATTAGGTGGCTATAGGTCTGTGCGTTCATTTCCGGG